CATTGAGGATTTCACAGTACAAGAAAATGAAAAGCTAAAACAAGCATTTCCACTCTCCTCCAAAAACCCTTATTGAATAGATTTATTGTCTACAGGGTGAAAGTAATTAGTTAAAGAAAATATACAACACAGCACATAATGTTAGAAGCTCTTTTTTATATGAAAGGAAAAAAGTGTTGGTAAAAATATCTAGGAAAACTGTAACCCAGAAGTCATCTGTAGAGTACCGTATTTTTTGCTCTATAACACGCACCTGACCATAACACGCACATCGTTTTTAGAGGAGGAAAACAAGGGAAAAAACATTCTGAATGAAACAGTGGATGTATCATTTTTGTGCTTCATGCTGTGGCCACAGACATGTGATCTGATGGTGAATTTGGGGTGACCCAATGCAAAAATCCTGAGAATCCCTGTGGATCCATGCTTTGTAACCACGTTTTTGCACCATTGCAGCCCCAGGCAACAGTGGGTGCGTGATTTTTTTGGTGCAGGCTGTAGCCATGGACATGCTATGTGATCTGATGGTGAATTTGGGGTGACCCAATGCAAAGATCCTGAGGATCCATGTGGATCCATGCTTTTTAACCACGTTTTTGCACCATTGCAGCCCCAGGCAACAGTGGGTGCGTGATTTTTTTGGTGCAGGCTGTAGCCATGGACATGCTATGTGATCTGATGGTGAATTTGGGGTGACCCAATGCAAAGATCCTGAGGATCCATGTTGATCTATGCTTTGTAACCACATTTTAAGTGGGGAGCGAAGGAAAAACAAAGAAGGGACATGAGAGGGGTGTGCAGAGAAGCAGCTGGCTAAGAATGCTGGAGAGGGATTTAACGGGTGGGAGGAAATAAAGGCAAAAGTTCCCCCCCAAGCCAGCCATCTCTCTCTCTCTCTCTCTCTCTCTCTCCCTCCCTCCCTCCCTCCCTCCCTCCCTCCCCCCCTCCCTCCCTCCCTCCCCCCTCTCTCCCTCCCACCCTCTCTCCCTCCCCCCCTCTCTCCCTCTCCCTCCCCCCCTCTCCCTCTCCCTCTCCCTCCCCCACTCTCTCTCCCTCTCCCCCAGCAGCACCGGAGCACAGAGAGGAATTAGAAAGAACGGCACTCTGCTGCTTGCCTGGAGGGGAGGGGCTTTCCCTGCTCTTTGTTCCGTTTCAGCAATCACAGCAACGAAACAGAGGAGGGTGGGCAGTAAGACCCTGAGGCAGAATGCAGGAAAGCTGCCACTTCCTCTTTTCAGGTTTCCCTTCTCCGTGACTCGCGATTTGACTTTTGCTTGATTTTTTGGCTCCAGGAACCACACATTCGCTCTATAACACGCACAGACATTTCCCCTTCCTTTTTAGGAGAAAAAATCTGCGTGTTATAGAGGGGAAAATACGGTAGTTGGATTACTGCTAAGCGGAGATGGCAATAATTTAAATAGATTAAGAAAAAACCCAACGTGGAAATGCAAGAAAGAAAGAGAAAGAAAGAAAGAAAGAGAAGAAGGAAGGAAGGAAGGAAGGAAGGGGAAAAGGAAGAGGAAAAGGAAAGATCTCTTCTGTATAAAGTTCAAAGGAAGTGCTCACCTTGTGTGGTTTATCATAAGGCCATGTTTCACATGAAGGTTGGAAATATGATGCGCTGATCCTTACAAGTCAACTGTGCTGACCCTCAAAGGGATCGGAGTATATGGTGCAACCCACACCAAAGAAATGGTGCAGTTTACAAACCCATGTACCATGGTACTTCCATTTCCCCAGTATTACTTTAAGTCAGGGGTCAGCAAACGTTTTCAGCAGGGGGCCAGGCCACTGTCCCTCAGACCTTGTGGGGGACTGCACTATATTTTGAAAAAATAAATAAATGAACGAATTCCTATGCCCCACAAATAACCCAGAGATGCATTTTAAATAAAAGGACGCATTCTACTCATGTAAAAACACGCTGATTCCTGTACTGTCCGCAAGCCGGATTTAGAAGGTGATTGGGCTGGATCCGGCCCCTGGGCCTTAGTTTGCCTACCCATGCTTTAAGTGATGTTGTAGTAAAGTTGGTACTGTTTAGAAATCATTCCTTGGTCAAGTAAAAAGAGTGAGGCCTTGTGGGAACTTTATCAGCCACAAGGACCCTGGGAAAGAAGTTGTGTTTCTTTAAATGCTAGACTAGTTGGCTCCTTGGCGTGAAAGGTTTATTGGAATAAAGGAAGCCTTGATTTAATGAAATGCTTGACACCTGGGTCTCAGGGTGTGAACATCCCCCCCCCAACGATGTTATCTGTCCTTGAAGTGCTTGGGAATGGGGATCTGGATAGTTTCTACGGAAGGGCGTAAACTCTTTGATTTGGGTTCTGCATTCTAAATTGACCCAGCTGCCAAGGGGTAGATTGATTGACTAGCAAGCCGGTCATTGGTGAGTTTAAAAATTAATTAAGACTTATGATTGGCTTGAGAGTTACGACGCCAAGTGCGAATTGTGGATAAAAGATCAGGGAATTGTTTGAGAAGTTGCTCTCTGCCATTGCTCACTGCAATCCGCAAAGATGCCCGGCTGTGATGTTCCACCTAATAGCCGTCGTTTCGTCTTTTGAAATGGAGATCTACGAAAGCCTTCAATTTGCGGACTCTTGAAAGAACTCTGACTATCCTATTTGTGTTTGACTTTGTGAGTATGTAAGTTAGCTAGACTATACAACGTCTTTATTTTCTTATCTGTAAGTTTCAAAAGATGTGCCTGCTGTTTTAGCATGTTTTCTGTTATTCTTTTAAAATAAATTTTTAAAGAAGAACCTGTTTGGTTTATGTGCCTTTCCGGGGGAATAGCTAAGTCCTAGCCTTACGCTTCGTTACGCTCTACCGTAGAATTTCTGCCTGCAAGTCTGTAAATACAACTTGAGGGGTGGGGATAGCCAGTGATAACGGGTCACAGCCTTCTCCCTGGGTTGTGGTTCTGGATCCCCAGGAACAGAGGGAGTGGTGGCAGCCCTACCGGGTCGATTTGGTTCTGTGTTTGTAAAAGTAATTACGCCTGCCAGCCCTGCTCAAGAAGCCTAGTCTGGCCGGAGAGCAGAGACAGGTGAGGGAGGGGCAGCGGCTGGGGGCGGTAGATTACTACATGGTGGCAGCGGTGGGATGCTGCTACACCTAGATTACTACAGATGTGCTGATAGAATAAATCTTTTGTGTAAACAACCCCCAAGAGCATACCGTACAAGAGAGTTCACCAAAGAGACCTGCTGATATGACATCCTACGTGTAGACCCAATATCAGCACCTGGCACCTTTAAGCAACTGCTGGGGCCCTAGCACCTTGGCTACGCCTACTGGTGTGGATACATGCTTGTGCCCCTCACAGCAGGCACCTGCAGTACAGCATGCAAAATTTTAAGTCATGGCTTCCAGCTTCACAGTTGCTACTGCCAGAGAAGTCTGCCTGAGGGACATTATCATAGGAAGGCCCTCCTCAACTCTAGAACTGGCCCTGGTGCTATAGCAATGAAAAAGGGCACATTTGGTGTTAGGGATTTAACGGCTTGGGATTTAGATACGCCGTGCTAAAGAAAAGATATAAAGAAGAGATCTTTGTGAGTTTGGTTTTCATTGGCCATTTTCTTCTTTAATATGCTTGTTGTGTATTATGCTACTTAGAGAACTTGACTGCTACACCCAGTACATTGAACAATGTTGTTCACAGCTAGATGTTTGTGTTTCTAGTTTTATTACTTCCAGGCAATAAAATGCTTTGCGATTATTTTTCAGTCAGTTGTAATCAACTGTATCCCCAAGCCCAGCTCATTCAAATGTTCACTTAGTAACATGGTCATCTCATGGGACTCTTCCACCTCAGAATGCATATGGCAATTGCTTTTTTTGAAAGCATTTATGTGGGAAAATCTTCCTCTAAGTGGAAAATGGAAAGCTTATTGGCCAGGAAGAAAGCTCAGCTAGCAGTTTAGTTTGTTCATGTATTTGAATTCTTTATTCAATTAAAGCTAATACTAAACATGTCAATGGTAACTGATGAATTTTGATAAGTTTTTTTGAACTATTAGATACAAAGTGCTGGTGTTGACCTATAAAACCTAACATTTTCATTTCTTTTTCCCCACTTTTTCTTTCTTTTGTCTGTGTCCTATTGGTTCTTCCCTGAACAGAACATTGAAGTTTAAGACATCACTGAGACAGTAAATTTATTTTGGGCAAGAGTTCATGAGACTTCTTCCTTGCCTTGGCCTTGTTTCCTTTTGGATTTAAAAAAACAAATATTCCCTTTTAACTTGAGAGTTTTAAAACATAACTGATATTCAGTAGTGACAGCTGGGAGATGCAAACAAGTATTGCCAGTGGGGTTGACGAAAACGATGTCTTGCTTTCTACTATTTTTCAAGACACAGAGATTATTCTGCTCTTCTGGTACATAAATTGGAAGTGAAAGGAGAAAGTGGGAAGGCCAAATCTCTTCCATTGACTGATAATAGCTGGTTTTTAGACTGCCTGAGTGTCCCTTAGACATTTTCACACCTGTTAATCACTGAGAAGCTGTTGTGTATCTGGGAAACATTTAAATGATCCAGCCATGTGTGCAGGGGGAAATCACATGAGTCTTTTTCAGTAACATGAATCCTTGAGGGGAGTTGAGCTTTGAGAAGGACTCTCATGGCCTGGCTATAAAAGTATTGCAGTTTCTTCATGCTGGTACTGGTACTGAGTTAACTTGCCTCTTTTCTTAGTGCAAGATCAGGAGTCATAGTCCTGAACTCTTGCCAAAAACTCTGGGCTAGTACTTTCAGAACTGTCCAGGGTCCTGAACCTGCCTTCTCCAGAACATTACTGGCTTGTGACCTGTCACCTAAGCTGTCACCTTGGGATAATGGAATTCCTAGAGGATCAGGACAACCCTTATTTGTGTTCTTTAAATTCCAAGACTCTCATCCAAGCATAGTTTAATGAGTGTTAAAATGTCAAGAATATCCTTTAAAGCTATTGGCATTATTCACTTTCTTCTATCTTTTCATTAACAGGAGGAATGTTTCTTGAACCTAGAAGCACCTATTTCAAGAGTGTGTGGTTATGACACTCCATTTCCTCACATATTTGAGCCATTCTATATCCCAGACAAATGGAAATGCTATGATGCACTTCGGAAAATGATTAATTATTGATCATGCAGGTAAGTGGGGGGTGGAGAAGATATATTTAGATAGTTTGGAATTAGTTTTAAAATGTTCAGATAAAATTCTAAGATTTTTTTAAAAACTACATAAGCCCTTGCCTGCAATCCCAAACATGTGTTCTAGGGAGCAAATATAATTGAATTCTGCAGGATGAATTCTTATTAAACATATATATGATTGTGCTACCGTTGAGCAAAGTCACCATATAAATCTGAGTGGCATGGTAGCAGATATTTTTACTTGTTCAGGGTTGCTACAGTTTGGCAAGGGATTAGACAACCATTCATTGATGCTTAAAACACGTATTTCGCTATAAGATGTGGATAGAAACAATTTATTTTCAAAAATAACCTTTTTTTGGGTAGTTTTCCTGATGTAAGACTAAGTGGTTGTTTGGATCTGCACAGAGAGAAAACTAAAACAAGCACTGCAAGCCAGACTGTCCTACAGTTTTCATGGTCTGACTGCTCACTTTAGAGCTATTTTTTAAGGTGGTTGGTATCAGTCTGTCTCGAGAGACAATGGAAGTGACGACTTCTGGGGTGAAGACAAACCTCTGCATTGTGTTGTTTAGTCGTTTAGTTGTGCCCGACTCTTCGTGACCCCATGGACCAGAGCACGCCAGGCACCTCTGTCCTCCACTACCTCCCGCAGTTTGGTCAAACTCATGCTGGTAACCTCGAAAACACTATCCAGCCATCTCGTCCTCTGTCTCCCCCTTCTCCTTGTGCCCTCCATCTTTCCCAGCATCAGTGTCTTCTCCAGGGAGTCTTCTCTTCTCATGAGGTGGCCAAAGTACTGGAGCCTCAGCTTTCACAATCTGTCCTTCCAGTGAGCACTCAGGGCTGATTTCCTTTAGAATGCATGTGTTTGATCTTCTTGCAGTCCATGGGACTCTCAAGAGTCTTCTCCAGCACCATAATTCAAAAGCATCAATTCTTCGGCGATCAGCCTTCTTTATGGTCCAGCTCTCACTTCCATACATCACTACTGGAACCTCTGCATTAGCAGCACCCAAATAACCTCCCTAGGGCACAAGCCTGGGTGGTGTATATGGAGGTTCTGGATGACAAGATACGCCCCCCTTCAGCCTCATTGATGTATTCCAAAGGAAATCAGAGCGATACATTTGAAGGGTTGTGGGGCTCTATCATGTGGCATAAGAAAGAGCATAGAGCACTGCAGTGGGAAGGTTAAATTAACGAAAATCTTGCCCTGCTCTCTTACTCCTGTGGAAACCTCTGCTGGATCTTGGTTCCCTCTGCAAAGGGAAGGAGACTTTCCCATTCATAGAGGGCTAGTTAGGATCCAAGCCACAGTTTTGTATACTTGCAAAATCTGATTGATATCTTTAACATTTCAGTTAGTACTAAGAACCTAACTGCCTGATATAATACATTCCTATTTAGTTAATTGGTGCAGTGATTTTTATCTTAATTACCTATTTGTTTGACCTTTACTGCTGCTAGAGCTTTGGGGAGTGGGAAGTAAGTTTAAAAATATGCAGACCAAACTGGCAACTTCTCCGCCTCCCCAATTCCCATTAAAAGCTTTTTCTTTCATTCCAAGTGCCAGTGCAAATAAAAAGGGGTTTATAATGTTTTGCAAGTATGCTCATAACACAGTAAATTCAGTACTTGTGGGAGGCTACTAATAATTACTCTTTCTTTGTCTTTTCTATATCCAAATTGAGTAAAATGACCAAGAGCTTACTGAATATATGAGACTTCAGGGCCACTTCAGACATGAAATTTCATACATGAAGGTTGCCTGTGTAAATAGAAGCAAACATTTCTAGATCATGTGCTTTATTTGCATTCTAACCGCAGTATTTCCCTTTGCAATCATAACAGGACACTAAAGTGAGGTTATGTGATGATGTTATGTCTTGCCAGAAAAAAATATCATTAAACATGGTATAACAATCAAGGCAACCGAATTATAAGACTAGGGTTATGTTTATGCCATTTCCACATGCACGCTGTGTTCCATAGTAGTAGCAATTAATAATGGGCCATGCAAGCCTAGCACCGTACAAAATTATTATTTTTTAATTTATCTGACAAGAAGCTTACAATTCAGTAAAAATTGCAACATTAGTGTGTGTGTGTGTGTGTGTGTGTGTGTGTGAGAGAGAGAGAGAGAGAGAGAAGTAAAAGAGGGATGAAAGTAACAGAAAGGGCTGACTGCCAAAGCGCATACATGCTTTCTGAAAGAGGTCTTTTTAATGTATTTCTTTAAAGTCTAAATTGAATTAGAGTATATTTCAACAAACGGAACATTCCAAATGGAATGATGAAAGGAAATGCATGAAATGCATGAACATAAGAAGAGTTCTGCAGGATCAGACCAAAGTCCCATCTAGTCCACTGATGAGCTAGATGCCCATAGGAAGGCTATGAGTAGGATATGAGCACAACAGCATTCTCCAGCTCCTTATTCCAGCCTGTTGCTGTTCTGCTGGATCAAACATATTAACTAGTAGCCATTGATAGCTTGACCATCCATGAATCTCTAAAAAGTGCATAGGATTGTAACCTTCAATGCCTAAGTGTGCATATTGAAATTCTGCATAAACATTTTCTACTTGTTTGTAATACGTTCTCTTTCCCCACCCCCCAGAAACAACCTCTGTTAGACATTCTCTGCTTCTACAAAGGTGAGAAGAACAAGAAGAAAAAGCAGTTGCTGTTGGTGGAACTATTAGCATAAAATTGAGATCTTTCAAAAATTGTAGAGGAGAACTAAGTGAGATTATTTTCTCAAATGCATTGATTTGGATACTCATCTTGGCTATTCATCAAAAGCTCAACATTTCTGCCAGCTGTGCATTCAAGAATGGGCAGGTGATTGCCGTGAAACATTGGCTGTGATTCTCTTTCCCCGCTCCCCATTCTGAATGTGACAAAACTTCTAAAATGTTTTACCCTATAAATGATGTATTGGGTTGATAGAGGCTTGTATCCAACATTGCTGTTCCACTAGCACAAAAGACTTCTGTTTGTGCAATAGAATTTACTCCTCCTCTCCCTTTTAGCTCCTTGTGCACCCCCAAAATCTCCAGAGGGTTGGGGGTCCTTTGGCGCAGATTTGCAGGAAGATGAAAGGAAGTGGGATTCTCATAGCGGACCATTGCCCACACATCATTAGATACAGCCCACTAATCAGGAAGCATTTGGTATGCTTTTTTGTGTGCCTTACTAGATAGATCTTTTTACTTTGATTTCACAACAGACTTATTTGTGTTTCAACTAAAACTGGCAGTGGTTTTACACTTGGACATTTTCTTTTATTTATTTTTAGATCTCATTATATCAGTGGCATAAACTGTCAGTTCTTTGAAAAAGCCAGGTGTCCTAAAGTTAGAATCAAAAGCTACTCTTTGATCCAAAATTAAAAACAAACATAATTCTCAAATCAGTTTGCTTGCTCAAGGCTTTTGTTAAAAAACGTGGGTTGGCAGAACTGATGAAGAAGCATCTGCTGCCATGGAGTTATGAAAATATATAATTAATACCAGTAATTTCACAGAAACACTACTGTGAGTCTGAGACTCATTAGGTATTTCTACACGAGTATGAAAGTTAGATATTGCATTATGATTTTATTTTGAATGCAAAGCAAAAATGTTAACCTTGAATATAATAACTGTATCATTAGAGAAAAATGTGCATTTTTCTAAATGGGTTTATCTCAGCACCCCAAAGCATTGCATTTACTTACTAACACATTGTGTAGACCAAGATAACCTTTTACATTTTTAATGCATTTTAAAACAGGTATAGATTCATAACATGGATGGGTGGAATTCTTCAGTTTCTGTGCTGCTCTCACAGCCTTGTCTAGATGGCAGTGTGCACCTATTCAGCCTGGATAAATGCCTTTAAAAGTGTTTACCATACAAAAACAGATACTTGTAAATGTGAAAATTGTACATGCTTTTTGCCAAAATGCAGCACATGACAATGAAATACTCAGTTAAAAAGTCACAAATGAAATGTATCTTCATTAGTATCGGGCATATGATACCCTGGACCTCTAAGCATTTTGAAAGGTAACATTTTTATGTAAGTTAACATAAGGAATGTTTATGTTAACTATGTTTAAACATTAGCTTTTAAAATAAAATGTAAGATTGTTTGTGCTAGTTTGTGCTTTTTCATTTACAAATTGTATTACAGGCCTACAGTTTGAAAGATAAAAACATAGTTTGCTGCAAGTAATAATCTATTCTGATTCCTGAATGCAGGCCAGCATGGAAAGAAGTATGCAACTGTACGAATGCATATATTTATTCTGAAATTAGAATTGGTTTGGCTATGCCTGCTTACCTAATGAAATTTAGTTACTGATAGAAATGCAGTTTCTTGAGACATCTGTTGCTTTTTGCTTTTGTAAGGGTCTGAACTAAGTTGTTCATAAAGTAATAATGAGTTCAAAATGAGCAAATACTTCTCCCATTCTGCCTGTATATATCTTTAGGAAAGGCTAATGAGAAGCTGTTCCATTGCTTGATGGAAGCTTTAAAGTACCCAATAGCCTTGTGAATAACATTAATATGTGAGTACATCCTCTAACAGGGGACGCGGGTGGCGCTGTGGGTAAAAGCCTCAGCGCCTAGGGCTTGCTGATTGAAAGGTCGGCGGTTCAAATCCCCGCGGCGGGGTGCGCTCCCGTTGCTCGGTCCCAGCGCCTGCCAACCTAGCAGTTCGAAAGCACCCCCGGGTGCAAGTAGATAAATAGGGACCGCTTACTAGCGGGAAGGTAAACGGCGTTTCTGTGTGTGGCTCTGGCTTGCCAGAGCAGCGATGTCACGCTGGCCACGTGACCCGGAAGTGTCTCCGGACAGCGCTGGCCCCCGGCCTCTAGAGTGAGATGGGCGCACAACCCTAGAGTCTGTCAAGACTGGCCCGTACGGGCAGGGGTACCTTTACCTTTACCTTACATCCTCTAACAAGCTGAAGTGCTCATGTTTAAAAAGACAACTGGATGTCTCTATGATTTCATCGCTCCATGAAAGCTAGCTGTGGGATGCTACGAAAGATATCCAAAATTCATGTTCTTTTAAAAAGAAAACCTGTTAAAAGTACTGCCTCTCTTTTTACCACAGTCAAGTACCACAAGCGTGCAAAACTCATTCTGTGTATTGGCAGGTATGTTTTTTTAATAGAAAAAATGTTGTTTACAAATCCATCACAATTTGTACAAACAGATTTTACGAAACAAATGTTTAAGGAGAAAGAACGAAAAGGCTAACACATATATATTCATGTTCCTTATAGCTTATCAAGTCTGCAACTGGAAAGCTGCATATCAAAGAAAAAAAGTCAGAAATACTCCATTTCAAAATAAATTTCTTGGCATTTAGTGAATGCGCAAGTTATTCCCTTACAAGCAGGTTATTGGCTTTGTCGCTTAAAGCCTTGGCTACAAACAGATATTTTGAGTAAATCTCCACCTCCATTGTAGTTTCCATATGATTTCTATAAGTCATGGCATGGATCCAAAGACCAGTTTAACTTTTCGTGAGCCTAAGGTTTAGGGTTAGTCCTTTTCTTTTTAAATAGCAGTTGTGTGGCATTTGAAACTGAAGGGGATTTTTAAAATACTGCTGAATTAGGGAGGGAGGAATCAGATATTTAAAGCAAAAAAGTAAAAGATAAATGAAACTTAAGGCCAGGATCCAAGCAACAGGTTTTGTCCTTGGTTTGAATCTCAGTTACCCCTATTTATCAGGCAGCAACACTTTGGTTTTCTGTTCGTGATCTTCCTGCAGAACACCCACCTGTTCTACTATGAAGCACCTTTGGTGCTAGTGTGAATGAATATGGATAGTATGACAAAGTATTACATTTATTGAGATGATTGAGCTAAGATTTGATATTGTTCCCACCCACCTGTTTATTTTTTTGAGAAGTATCAAGATCTTCTGTCTTCTAAACTTGCCAAGAGAATTATTGATTTTTACAAGCCACCTGAGGAATCTAATCTTGCTGCTAAATATTGGATGCATTGATTTATTGTAATGCTGCTAGATGAGCATAGGTAGCACTTGATTCTTTTTGTCACGGTCGCACCATTCCTGTGTGATACTTAGGTCTGATGCTAATTTTGAAAACGGAATCACACATAACCTTTGTTCTGTGTGGGTGGTGTAGTGTCTCTCCAACACAATAGAACTGTCTTGAATATTTCTTTTGAGTTTTAAAATATTTTTTAAAGGTGCTACCTTTAAGCTAAGTGATGAATTGGGATGTAGGATGGAGAGCAAAGGGGACTTAAATGCTAAAAACAGTAATACTAAAAAACGGGGGTGGCTCATGAAACCTGCCCCCTGCTTAGCCTATAGATTGCCTGGCATAATTTATCTGATTTATAATTCAGAGGGGAATGAATGTTTGTGAAGAAGAAAAATGCAACCAGGGTTGTTTCAAAAGATGGTTGGATGGCTGTTTTGGAATCTTGATTGCTATCACAGCCAACTTCTACACATGTTTGTTCTTATGCTATCCCTAGAAAAGTCTCTATGGACTTTCTCACTTTTAACGACTATCAATAAATGCAAGCTTACTTAGTTCTTGTATGCCTTTTATGATTAAAGTTACAGAAGGTACCAGTTTCAATTATTTGCTAGATGACTTAAAAGCTTAATTAGAGCAAAAACTTTGTTTTGTCTTTATCAGGGCTCTGGAGAATGTGTGTTTTGCATTTCCTTGTTAATGTCTAACATTTAAAAGCACAACAGACGAGTCTGCCATGAAACTGAAAACTTCAGTCAACAACTGCTATAATGATGTTTGTGCATTTGTATAGGTATTCTGAGTGGTTCATATTAAGTGACACAATTCTGGCACCTACTCATGAATAACTGATTTGAGGAAGTTTTAGGTCTTTCTTTTGCCTGTGCTATGTGATTTGGACCATATCTGTGAACATAAGATAACAAAGACATGTTGTGCTTTACCCAAGCCTCCCTTAAATGTACTCTTAGATGCACTGAGTGAATGATTTAGGACTCATGCAGGAGTTTTTGTATTTTTATGGTGATATTTCCTGAGATCTTTTAAAAGTGACTGATGAAATTTCGTGTTTTCTGCTTCTCTTGTATCCCTTACTTGGACTCCCTTGGGTTATTAATGAGAATATTAGTGTATCATCTAGTTTTCATTCCATTAACTTCCCATGTCAATATTTAAATCTATTTCCCCACCCACATTAATTTCATTAACTTCTTCTCCCACAAATTTATCCCCTTGCCTTGTATTCATTTTTATCTTCTGCGTTCCAATTTCCCCTCCCCGCAATAAACCAAAATCAGCAGACAATTTGCTCACCAATGCTTGTATTGTTCAAAAGTGGTGCTGCTTGCTGCTTTTATTATTAAGTGCTGAAGTACTGTTCCTGGCTGTGGTGCTTGTTCTACCATGAGGCTTGTGTCAGCACTTGGGACAGGTCACTGAAGACTGCCAGTCTGGCTGCTGATAGCATCACTATATAATATAATAGCCCTGCCAGAAATTTACACTTCAGGACCATTCACTCAAACAATGTGAACTGAAGAAAAGAGTCATGGGGGGGGGCATTTATGGTGGAAGTTACTTGTAGGAAGTCCAGGGACTATAAAAACCCAAGAAAAAGAACCAGATTTTTTTTTTAAAAGTCACTATTTTGCAGCAGTAAAAGGTGGGTGTGGGGACATAGAATTCTGCAGGCCATAAAATGTCTCTTGGTGCATGTTTATTTTGAAGTGAATGTGATTAACTACTTGCATTTGATATGTCAGAAGTTCAAAATCAATTGTACTTGGCTATAAATGGCAATGAGAAATCCTCAAAGTGATTGGATAATTAATTGAATATGCATCGATTGTACAATTGGCTCTTCAATAATATGTGCAAATACAATTTTAAAAGAAATTGCAATGGACACTGATTAAAGATTCATAATCTTTGCCCATTTTTCAAAGCAAAATGCAGATTCACATTCCTAGATGTAAAAACCTTGAACCAGTCCATAATTTCTCTCTGGGAAGTCTTTGAAGGCTTGAATTTCTGCACCAGTGGGGTGACTTGTCTTTATGCTTTAAGGAGCTCTGAGGATGAAGTCTTGCTGCCAGCAAATTCCATCATTTCTGGGCTTCCTCTTTATATTTCAAGGGTCTGTTTGTTTCAGAGTCTTACCTATAACATCAGGATCCCAAAATCATGAGGGGACCCAAGCCTTTCCGCAAAATTCTAGGTCTGGTTCAACCCCTGGTTCATTAGAAGCTTGGGGCTGCCATCCCTGCTTCTGTTTGCATTGAGGGTTATGGGCTTTGTCTTCCTACTTCTCCAGAAAACTCCGTGAAGGTGGTGTGAGTGGCAGGGAGGTAATAAGGAAGAATTCAGGCAGAACTTAGGTTTTTGGAAGAACTGCAAGCCCTGTGATGCTTAGCTAGCCCATGTTTGGGAGCATCCAAGATCTCCCTGTGCCTCCATCTGCCTCTCCAATTTACAGTACGATGCTATTCTTAAAAAATTTCCAGAGCCCTGCTAGATAACCTATTTATTTAAACCTATTGCCAGTGGGTGTATCTTAATGTCTTAATTCATTTTTAAAGCAAAACATCAACTATTTCAATAAGTACAAAACAATTTACCAAATATAAATCCGCACCCCATTCCCCCTCCTGTTTTTCTTGTAGATTCATTTGAGATCAGTTCATTGATTTAAATGCTTTTGTGTGCTAATCCAGGTAGATAGGCATGGCTCCTTCCACACCTCCGGCTATAGACCAGAACAGCAGCCTACTTGAACTTGCAATCCATATCAAGGTGCACTTGATGCACAAAGACATGACTAACGGATGGCTGCTTGCTTGTACCAGCTTCTGTGATCCTCTCCATTCCACCTCTCCTTGCCAATCTAGCCTGGAGGGAAGAGGACAGGGATGAAAACGGAATACAAATGGTGCCTTGATGTCTACTTAACTTTTGGCAGGCCAATAAATGCATTTCTATCTCCACCATGTGTGTGTAATACACAAAGACAGCAAAAATGCTTTCATATATTCCATTATTTAATGCTCCTCGACGGCCCTTTTCCTAGTTAAGATTTTGTACAGTAACTCAGCCTTAAAAGGCGCTTCTGTTGCTCCGCAA